TGAGGTCGGGCCTAGGAATACTAGTTCTACTTAAGTGCAAACCCCAATTTCGTTACAAATTTTATCCTAACAAAAATTGTGCACTTCTAACACAATACAAATACCTCAAATAACTAGGACTATAGGAAGTTAAGTCCTTCCAGGACTCCCACTCCAACATCTATAAATACATAACATAGCCTCATTATTCAGGTATGTTTTTATAACATTCCAACATATTTCTTCTTGCACACTTGTTTGACTTAAGTATCGGAGGGGTGACGAGGACACACATCGACGCCTTTGTTTTAGATATTCGAGACCGGATCACGCGGAGCTCATTCATCCAGTACGGGTCTACCCAAGTACGACTTTTGGCATCATCAGGTATAATTCAGGCTACATCTGATGAGTTTTTCTTTAATCACTAGAATGTAGTATATATATCTACACGTGATGAGTTTTTCTTTCGGCACCATTCTAATTAAATGGCTGATACATTTCCTTCAAATACACAAACAACTTAAGAGAAGAACAAGACCATATGTCAACTGAAATTGGAGAGAAGGATGCCTACATTTAACCACCAATTTTAACAAACAAGTGATTCCATAATAAGAGTTAAGAGTCCATCAAAACCCCTTCTCAAACACCACTTCTAATGTTGATTGTCCACGTACAGATTATAAACCTCACTTATAGCTTATTAATCTAATATCCACTTAATAATTAACCACATTACTAAACTCATTCTTACAGTTAATAAAATAAAAAAACCATATGATCAAATATTGTTCAATTGTTTGTTAAACATTTGGATAATATAATATAGAAAAATATATATTCAACTTCACCAATTAAGGAGGTAAAAAACTCATAGTTAACAGAGAGCCATTTTCTAAGGTGATACGTGCAACAGAACTTGGGTAGAATTCTGAAATTAATATATATCGCTTTCGTGATTAAAAACTCATCTGCAAAATGCTGTAATTGATATTTATTAAAAATTCATCTGCAAAATGCAGTAATTGATATTTACGGATAGTAGGGTAGTTGTATACTTCCATTAATGCCCCCCCTATGATTTTTCCATTAGAGGTACCGGGCTATCATTGTAACAAGAAATTCATTTATGTTAATGTTAGAATTATGTGCCTAAATGAATTTCTTGAATGAACTTACACTTGACCCAATTGAAAAATATAAAAATAAATTCACCACCTAATTAATCACACCCAATATTCAACAAAAAAATAGTGTAAAACTTCCAAAAATCATCATCAATTGATAAATTATCATACATATACAGATAAACTTGTTCAC